ATATACTGCTTTAGAAAATAGAGGTGCAATTAATACTTAATAAATCTTTCTCTTACCTGTTTTAGAAAGGTTGGTATCATCTATTTTACAGAAGTCTAGATTCCTGGTTGTGCTTTTCCCCTCTATTAATTTGGACATTCTAAAATCACAGCTCTATTTTGCAAGTAGTGTTTTTAATCCAAGGTTTCAGTAATGTTCTATATGCAATGGCAGCTCTTCAGAGAGCAGGTGTCAAACTGCAAGGGAGGTCTCTTTTATCATTAAGCCCCTCCTCTCAGTAAGTCAGGATAAACTGCTATTGCCATAGCAGCCTCTGCTTGCTTTTTAGGGAAGGACAGACTTGCTGCACATCCCAGTCTAGACAGGCCTGGGGCTGTCATTGTTTCCAGCAGTGAAAGAGGAGTACAGGGGGTTGGGGCACGTGTGTGTGTGTGTGCTGTCCCTTTCTTCCCTCTTCTTCACTGCCAGAATCCTTGCTATTGCTGCCCTACTACTGGACTGGTCCATGGACCTATGTTGCTGTCGCCCCATCACAGAGCTTGGTTCACCCCACCTACCTACCTGTCACTTCTACTGCCCCACAGTTTCCCACCTCGTTGCGTCTAGACAGGCCTGGGGCTGTCATTGTTTCCAGCAGTGAAAGAGGAGTACAGGGGGTTGGGGCACGTGTGTGTGTGTGTGCACTGTCCCTTTCTTCCCTCTTCTTCACTGCCAGAATCCTTGCTATTGCTGCCCTACTACTGGACTGGTCCATGGACCTATGTTGCTGTCGCCCCATCACAGAGCTTGGTTCACCCCACCTACCTACCTGTCACTTCTACTGCCCCACAGTTTCCCACCTCGTTGCAAAATCCCATCCCTGTCAGATAACTCCCATCCTCCAACTCTGCTTACTCCAGAGCTCAAATCCTACCCTCCACTTCAGCCCATGTCTGCTCCACGTCCTCCAGTCTTCCTGCCCCAAACCTGCATCTTCAGTCTTCAGCAGCACACACCAGTCCTGGGATCTTCCTGTTTCATTCCCTGAATGAACACCTCATATTTCTTACTCATTTCCCCCACGTTATAGCTTCACCATGATTCCAGCCATAGTCCATGCTGAAAATGGATTTTTCATCGCACAGGTTCCCCTTCCCCAGCCATTTTCCTGAGTATTTTACTGCTCCCAGCCTAATCCCATTTCCTCACAAACCTATGACAGAGCATCAGAGGGTCTGTTTCCCTTCTTCCAACCTAGGGTGCCCGCTTCTAATCCTAGAGTTACTAAAGGTTTCATGCCCTCAAGTCCATCCAGGTCCATTCAAGAGCTCTGGCTTCCTAATTAAGATGTTGCATTTCCCAACCCTTTCTGGTCTCACTGTTACCTTCTCCTCATCAACCCATACTGGAAGCTTAGCACCTCAGTTCCCTCAATGTTTCTACCCTGGATTTCGCAGTTCAACAACAGCTCCCAGAGATTCCCCTATCCCAGACCATCCCACTTCTCAGTCTGCTGTATCACTTTTCTTGATACTTCCTGTCCAGCTCCTCATCTTCCTTCTGCTTTCCCTATTTTGACATCTTCTGGTACCTGACTGCACTATCTTCTTATTAGATGCTGTCCTTCACCTTACTGCTTGAATTATCCGTTGTCTTCCTTACCCCTCTGGGCTTCTGCTGTGGCACACTCTGCCTTGCAAAAGCAAATTCCCATTTCTTGGCACTGGTGATCTTTTCAATACCGCAAACAATTGAAGAGCACATTAAAAAATCCACCTAGTTTTAGAAAAGAAAAATTCCGTCTGGAAAAAAGATAGCCCATCTATGGTAACCCATGATAAAACAATAATACTCTGTTACAGCGGCATTCAAGTATGAGAGTTGGTGAGCTATACAAACTATCTACTAAAATCAGTAGAGGTCAAAGGAGAGCTGCTAGAGGACAGAGATGGAACACAAAAGGAGGTCAAGATGTCAAGGAGAGTATGAACAACTGGACTGAGGTCTGTGACACTTAGCCAGATGAGGAAGAACTAGTATGGCTCAGCTTTAATAAGAAAGTGTTCATTAGAAATTCTGGTAAGAACAGCTCAAGGGGCTGTATCAGGCTTGTTAGAGGTCCAGGAGAAAAAAAACACAGTGCATAAACAGTGTGCCTGAAGAGTTTAGAGATGAAAGACAAAAATGTGATAAGGTATTCTTGCAATATAGAGACTATTACAATGCTATAAACCAGGACTGGGCGAGACTGAGAGATTCAGAAGAGAAAAAGAAGGATGAGAGCAGACATAAAGAAGATCTGAAATTGGATAGAGTGAAATTTTATGGGCAGGTGAAAAGGGTAAAGGGCTACATGAAACAAAGAGGTGAGAAACTCCTGTGTTTGATAATGAAGAAGAACAAAGAGAAAGGAGAAGGAAAGCTAGTCCAGAAAAAATATGTTCCTGAAGAAAACATGACAAAAGTTTCACCTATCACCAGTATCACCATGAGCTTCTTTTCAGGTGCTAAGACATACCAATATGCTTTGAAAAAGGCATTCTCTGCAAAATAAAGTTCAACACATCACATGATTAAAGTGCTTAGGTCTAAGAAAAACCCACAGTACAAAATTCTACACAGGCTCAGAATTTGATGTCCTAATGAAGTTAGGGAAGCATATAGTGTATGTCAGGGGACATTTCTCATATTTCACATGAGAAAAGCTTTCTTAGACATGAAAAGGAAAATGCTGTATGAATCAGTAACCTTTTTTAGCATTTGAAATTAATTGTAATGATCTGTAATCTTTCTCAGCATCTCTTAAAAATACCGTTACTAGTAAGTTATTGTTGCATTCCTTTTTTTTTCCTTTGGACTTCAGTGTGTAACATTTGAAAATAAGATACAGAAAAAATATATGTAAGGAACTGAGATTTTTCTTTATGTATGAATCGTGAAAAAATATTAAGACTCTAGGAACTTATTTTGTAATATTGCAGTAAGGCTTTTTAACTCAGCATTTGACAAATTTTAGTTTAATAAACTGCTTGGTAGTTGATCAGTCTTTCTGATGTTACCTTAATAGTAAAAATGACCACTGTAGCAACTATATGGCTCTTAAACATGTTAAATATTACCTGTTGGTACATAGCCCTTTTGAAATCCCATCTGGGATGTTAGGTGCTCTTGGTGGGGGTCAAGCACTGGAAAAAAAATATTTCTACACCTTTCCACCATCATTTGCCTATTATTTAGGTCATTAATCACTGCAAATAAATAGCCTTTGAAAAAACATGAACCATTAAAACCAAGTGTAAACTATGAAAAGCAGGATGGGGAGAGTGTTGTATTGCAGTAAGACTGTTGGGGATAGGACAATAAAATCAATCTTTCTCTGAGAAATTTGTAATTTTGTAATATTATATTTGTGCAATGGCAAGAACATTACCACGAGAAACAATCATAGCTCAAATACTCCAGGGAATGTTTAGTTCTGTGTGATGTGGTGACAAGACTTGGTGTACATATCTGACTAGGAAATGAATAGTAATTGCATCAAAAGTATGTCTGTAAGCCTTATTCTCTTTTGTGATGTGACTTTTTTTTTTATATTACTACTTACAGATTTCATCAGTTTGTATCCTTGCGGTATAATGTAGCAAAAGTCTACACTGTAGGAAAGAGAGTAATAATATTTGTCACCTTTGCAGTGAGCGTAGAGAGTAAATGATTTGTCCATAATGTCACAGGAGGTCTCTGGTAGAATTTGAAACTGGTTCTAAGGCTCCTGACACTTTCCCAGTGCATACCACACCATTGCATGAGGTCGTCCCAGCTGAGCAGTTCAGTAGTGTTGGAGTTGAAGACTTTTTCAGAGTTTCCTATGTTGACATTAAATGACCGGCAGACAGGAACATGTGGCAGCCTTGTACTACCTCAGAAAACAGAGGAGCGATGAGATTGCATGGTATTGTTATCTCAATTTTACTGTGAGGAGGGGTGATTATCATTACTAACCATGTATTTTTGTGTACTCGTGGGCTTAAGCAAGAGTTGTCTTTGACTCAAGGGGTGGCTTTTGCTCTGATATATGGAGTTTCCCTCTAGTCCAGGCAATTTCTTTCATCCTCAACTGGTTCTGCAGTCACTCTCTGAGAAAAGCACTTCATCTCCTTTTCTCATGAGCCCCAAGGTTCTGAATCCCCCCTTCTGTCCCCTGTTTATGTTTTTCACAAGCTAGACAAACACATACAATGAGATCACTGTTATCATGTCATATGATATTTGACCTGATGCTGTCTGTAGTCAGTAGTAAGAGACAGGCAGCCATCAAGATTTAATGACTCTCTCGTTACTGATCAAGAAATAACTGGCGGCAAATAGCGGATCTCACACAGCCCGAGGTACTTATGACACTTCACAATTTATAAATAGACTTGTTTCTCAAAACATTGTGCAAATGCCGCTAACACATGGCTCTTGCCTTGAGGTCTAGACTAATCCTATGGGATTTCCCCTGCTGTGGTATTTAAAAAAAATATGGTAAATTACCTTTTTTTTTTTCTAGATGGGTAAGTTCCTCACTCTTGTTTGTTTGTGCATGGCTGCTCAGGTTGCTATGCCAGCATGAGAGCAGACATTAATGGCTGAAACAGGGAAACAGCAAAGGCTGCTTAACCAGCGTGCAGAATCACATGTAGCGTGTGTAAATCCACAGCCGCAGTTTGGCCAAGTGCCACAGACATGATGTGGACTCCTTCAGACCTTCAGCTCAGTGATTTTGATTGGAGAAGCCCAAACCAGTTTTTCATCAGTTTGTGGGAAGCAACCTTCTAATATTGAAGGGGCAATGTCTGCTCATGCTGAGCTACAGAAGAGTAGTTTGGCTGCATGATTCTAAATCTGCCTTCCCCCCACACAGTGGAATAATTGGATATAAGAAGAAATACAATTTAGTACTCTGTTCTGGTTTTTTTACCATTTAAACATGTATTTACTGACTGACTAAAATATGCTTTCTCATAATATTCATACCACAGGTCAGTTGCTCCGTCTGAAAATGTTTCGAGAGGACCACGGGTCTTGGATGACAATGTTCTTCAGTACCATCCTCTTCCTCTTCATTTTTTCTCACATTTATAATCTGTTCCTCATTATGGCAGGGAATATGAGGTAGGTTACAGAGTTTCTTTTTGTCTCTTTTGCTCTAGAATATATTCTACTGGAAGTTTTTCATAATATGCTGCTTTACCGTGAACAAGAGCTTACCAAAGTATAAACATACTAGTATTCACTCTCTTGTTTTATTCTTCTGCTTTCTGAATCTAGGTTGAATAGTAATTTAATTGGTTAATTAGCCAAGAGGATTAAAGTATCGGTTATAAAAAGTGGGCTTCTAAACTAATGATAGCAACTATCAGGGTACTAATGAACACTATATCTGTTTTTTTAAATTTAAAATTATAGCTCAGCAAATATGATTTGAAGTTAGACCTAAGTAGTTTAAAAGCATAAGCATTACTATTGTGCATACTCAGGACATTCAGAGTTGAAAATAAAAGAAACTGAACCATCCAAACTTGAGGAAGCTCACACTCCAAACACAAACATTAAATGTGGAGTATAGTGCTATTTTGGTTATGTATAATAGTAGCTGATGATCCAGTTTGTTAAAAATATTCTTAAACATATTTTTTTTTTCCCATAAGGTGCTCTGACGGGGCAAAGTTATGGTTGGCTGAGGGATGAACAGCTATCATTTTATTATGTCTGGGTTTATTTTAAGTGGAGCTTTTTATATTAATTTTCTAGCTTAAGAAGACTTGCTTTCTCCTGTTATCTTAAAATTTATACTGCTTTCACATGTTGATTTTTCTGATAAAAGCTACATTATTAGTTATCTAATACATACAAAACAAGTTCATTGGACAAAAATACACAGTCATGTTGTTTATGAAAGGCAATACAACATCTGAAGGGTTTCTAGCAAGGAATAAGAAACCAAATGTATATATGAGTTGAAGAACAGTGCAAAAAATTGAATGACTTATTGTTAGCAGAGTGTCAGAGCGATACCGACAGAGTTTGATAAAGAGTTATTTAGCTGGCCCTGGTGTGCTGTGTTGCTGATCTTAAGTGTGCCAACAAAAATACACAGCATATGAAGTCCTGTTAACAATGATGTGACATAAAACAAAGGTGTGTAGGAGGAAGACTGGGTATCACTGAGTGAACGTAAGTGCAGACCAGCCGGGCTAATCATGAGATCGTGACATGAAGACTAAACGTATTCATTTCAAGCAAGGCAGGTAAAGCATCAGAATCACCCAGTGTTTTAGGAAATGATCACGGTAATGATGTGGTAAATATGAATAGGTGCCCAATATGAGGCAGAATAATCATCCCTGAAATGAGGAGGGTTGGGAGCATTGTGGGTTTCTGGCTTCCCTATTTACATAGTCATACTGTTATTGGTGTTATGTTAAGATTTATATGTAGTATTTCTAATGCTCCATAAACTATAACTAGCTGTTAGACAAAGCATTAATAACTTTGAAAGCTTGACTCA